CATGGTGGAAGCACACCTCCAGATTAAAGGTTTTAAAAGAATCCAGCATAAACCATTACCTTGCACACACACAGCAGTGTGGTTTGCATGCAAGTGTCCCTGTGAACCTGAGGTTTGTTTACACAGAGCTCTTGAAGGCATGATGTTTATCTTTTAAATGTTTTATCAAGAGAGCAGCTTGTTTCAGAGGATAAGCAAAAAATACTGTGGTACTGGAGAGGCTGTGCACACATTGATTTATATCTTGCAAATTCAGTGTGGTGTGGATGGGCTCAAAGGGGAAAAAGTACCACCAGAAAATAATGCAAAAATCAAGCAAAGTGAGAACCAGGGTTTCAGATTTATCAATTAGTGACTTTAAAAGTAATGGTGGCATCTAGAGTTTATGCTCAGGGAGCTGCCTTGCTGTCTCTTAGCCTGCTCAGTTTTTTTGGCAGGTGCTGAAGAGTTTTATTCTATTTGTAGATGTAAGGAAACAAACAGGCCCCTGAGGTATCAATTAAAGTTCAGTACTTCTGCTGAGATCAGATTTGTAGGAAATGTTATGCTTAATATAGCAGTGTAAAAGTCTTTTAAACTACTCAATTCACATTTCACCCAGGAGATGTTTCCAGGATGGATTTAGCAGTTTTTAATGCACTCGTGGTTTCACTTTGAGAGGAACTGAAGAGCTCTGGCCATTCTGTGACACTCTGAAAAGCATTAACAGCTCACATGAAATGTAGGTGTGCATTTAGATCTCTGGAAATGGAAACCCACCCTAAAATAGGTGTATCACACACTGAGGAATTGTGATTGGTGAGCAAAGACTCAAAAGCAGAGAAACACAGAACTGTCATGGTTTTCAGAGCACTTCAGATGCTCCTTACTTGCATGAAGGGTTTGTTTATAAACCAGTAACTTTCTTCTGTTTAATTTGCATAAGTTTATGTAACATTTTCTCTCCTGCTTTAATCTCCTCATGGCCAAAATAATATTAGATCTTCTCCTTTGAGGTAACAAGGAGGTCTTTGAGCACAGCAGTGGAGAGCATGAAGACCCAAACTGGCCAGAACTTGGGTCAAAATAAGACAGGGATTTAGGCAGGATTACAGCAGTGTGAAGCCTTTGTAACTTGTAAAGACTTCCTAAAATACACATTTTCTTCCTCACCAGCAGACGTGGTAACTGCAGATGCTGTTATACACTTGTATCACTAAAATCAGTTAAAGGCCTCTCTCCTTTAATCCATTGAGCTTTTATGAAAACTTTCATTTACAAAGTGGATTTTGAATGCTTGTGGACATTGGCACAACCAGCAAATGCTGTTGGCTTTTGGTTTTGTTTGTCAGCCAAATATTTCCATTTTTAAGTTGGATGAATGGATTTTAGGAGACTGAGAACAGTCACACTTTTCGTTGGTAGCTTCATCAAAGAAACCAAACCCAAAACATTTTTTCCACTTAATCTGTCTCAGCATTTCTTTCTCAAAGATATTTACTCATCTGCTAGGATATTAAAGGATTTCCTTGAGGATGCAGAACTCCTAGATCACTGGGGTTATGTTTGCTGATTTGGTGTCCAAACAAAATCCAATTAAATTGGTGCAACAGCTTTGTCCAAAAAAGGCCTGTGCTAATAGACCTAATTTTAATTTTGTTTCTCATTTGTTAAATCTTGGCAATACTACCATTGCAGACTTCACAGCAGAACATAATCCTCCTGAAAAATAGGATCAATGCTTGCTTTTGTGTAATTTATGTTTTTATTTTGATACTCCCTCTCAGAACAGGCTTTAAGCTCAGTCAGTGCTGCTGCTTTCCTAATCACACATTTCATTTTATTACAGCAGTGGCCAAAGTGGCCATTAGAGTTAATTATCCTTTTTCTGTCTAAAAGATGATTAAGATGATATATACAGGCTGGAATTATGTGTAGTGACAAACCCTTGGAAATCACAGATAGGACAACCTGTGAATTATACACAGAATCAATTCTCAGTTCTCCAATCCTCAGAATTTGGAGTAACTGTCCAAATTTAGGTTTTGTTTCAAATCCATAATAAAAATTTCCTGCTAGAAACTGTTCTTTGAACACATTTGGTGGGGAGCTGCAGTCACCTTGTTCAGGAAACAGCCAAGTGTCAAAACAGGCAGCTCTCAAGTAGCTGTGAGAGAGAGGTGCCTGTGATCAGCATTTTACCCCCCTGACTGAAACTTCCTGATGGAAAACAGCCAGGTTTATGGGAAGGAAGTGAATTCCTTGCAATTCTCTGGTCAATGCTTTGTGCCATTCCTCACGTGGGAGGTTTGACCCTCCTGCAGGATTCCAGTTTGTCCAACACAGCCCTGACATTCCCTGGAGCTTGTTTAGCATAAACAGAGATTGTGCTGGTTAATGCATCCCCTCATCTGCCTCTTTCCCTTCGCTTGTGAGTCAGTATTTCAAACCCACCAATGCTAATTTCAAATTAATCAGCGTTTTGTAAAAAGCCAGCAGTAACTCCAGGGTGTCAGCTGTGCACTCCAGCAGCTCTGGCACCCCTTGGAAAGCAGAAGCTCCGTTTCCAGCAGCAGGAATGTTAAGCAGCACATCCCAGCTGGTGCTCTTTAACCCGGGTGTTTGGCTGGGGTGGGGCTGCTTTGTTGTGTGGGGTTATTTGCATTGAGTTCAGAGAGCTCCCATTCAAGGCCAGGAGGAGGATCCAGACAGGTGGAAAAAAGAGGAGGAGTGGTGAAAGTTGAATGGAGGAGATAACCAGAAGCCAAACTTTGCTTTTGTGTTTTGCGTTTTATTTGATGAAATGGGCTGTTGTGTTGCTTTGTGCTGCTGTGAATGGGTGCCCATCTGCTCTCCTGGTGCCCGCTCAGCTCTTGGCACGTTCAGCACAAACCTCTCCATCAGCTGCCCTGGCCTCCTCCAAACACAAGGAAAGGTCAAGCTGAATTTCACAGACCAGACCTGCCCATCAGCTCTTGAACTTGATGAAGCTTTCATGCTCTTTGCTATAAAAGCAGGTTTGATTTTAGTGCTTTTTAAGTTTTATTGGGAATTGTGGGGGACCTTCAAATTCTGCCCACGGCTGGTTTGATTTAACTTTGCTTCAAAAAGCAGCTGTCCAAGGATTCTCTTGGAGTGGTTCTTCCTTGAAGTGATTGCTGCAGCAGAGGCTGGCTCAAAAAGATAAATTCCCAGCAAAAAGCTGTAAGTTAGTTGAAAGCTTTTATTGAAGTTATATAAGCATATTTATGGAAATCCTTGAACTCTCGTGGTTATTGCTATAAAGGAAAGTCAGAGTGATGCTCAAACTCAACTATTGAACACTCTGCTTAAAACTCAGGTGTTTTGGGGGGTATAACTAATGTATTTCTGAACAGTACTGCCAGATAAATGCAGGTTTCAGCACACACTGCATGAGCTGGGGTTGTGTGTAATTCTGAGCCCTCTCAGAAAACCAAAAGTTGGAGAAAAAGCAGCTTGTTAAAAAAGCTCTAATACAAGGTGCATCAAATTTATGGGTTTGTAATTGACAGCCATGCGGATGAGTAACTGTTGGATGAATTTTATTCAGTTATACACATTCTGCATGCTCTATTTTATGAGCACAGCTAATGGGAAAAAGCTGAGGAATTCAATCCAGCTCCTTGCAAGTGTTGGATTGGCCCTGATTTCATCACCCCTGGAACTGCTGCGTTGTGTGCTGGGATTCCTCTGGTTCAGGTGCATGGAAAACACTGATGCAGCCAAGAAAAACAGGGAGGTTTTAGTTATTTTAAAAATCAGTAGATTGTGTTACACCAGGGGATGGAAATGAATGGCAAATGAGAATCGACCCAGGGCTGGGTTTTTATGCCCATGGAATCTCAGAGTCCTGCTGCTGGTTTCCATGGGAAGCAAGGTAATTCATCAGCTGGGATCCGTGGTCACTCCTGCTGAAAATTGAAAGATATCTTTGTTTGCAGACTGGGAATCTGCAATTCGAGTTGGAGTGCTGGACTGTGGGGAAGAAGGGAACTATGAGACGTGCAAGGAATACGGGATTCGCTACTACCCAACCCTGAGGGTAAGTGCAGAACATCCTGCCTTGGGCAATTCTGCATGTTTTCTGCTAATTAAACTGGGTAACTCATTGTTCTGTAGCTGGAGTTTTGCTTTGCTGAGAAAACTGCAGTTGATAAAAGATTAATTTGAGGGGTTTTTGCTGAATGCAAGAGCTGATGCAGCTGTTTTGAGCAGCAATTCAGTTCTGAATCTGAAAAATTCTTATTGAAAGAAGATACCATTCTGTAAAGTATCATGCTATCACACCTATATAACCCCTAATTTCAATAGATCTATTAGATGATAAACATTTGTATAAATATTTTCCAAATTCAGCTGTTACAGGATTATTAATAATGTTTTTAGTTTTGGTGTGTGGAAGTAAAGGGGACACATTGAAATTGCCTTGTGAAAACAGCTGATTGCATGAACAATTAAAAATTTACCCTTGATAGATCCTTCACTATTTTTGTGATTAGTTTCATAATATTTTTCATAATAAAATGCTTAAATTGCCTTTTAAAGAGGATGCCACATTAGCCAACATCTGCCATTGTTCTTTTTTATACAATTTTTACCTTCTAGTCTGTATTAATCACATTATTAAGTATGAGCAGAATGTGATGGATGGAGAGAGTTGAATAAACTGTGATGACAGGAGAGGGACCAGGAGACATTTCAATGTAGGATCTGTGATTTTTTTACCTTGATAGTAAAACCAATTTTTTTTCTTTTACTCTCCAAAGTTTTAGGTGTAAATTGTGATATCCTCTTTATTAAACACTGAATCTTTTCCATATTATTTTTTTTGTAGCAGAAGGCAGCCAAGCTCCCTTAGATCTCCTGTTTAACCACTGGAGGGAGTTGGAAAATGTGAATAGTGCTCCACGAGCACACACAGCTGGTAGCAGAGATTTGGTGATCAGTTCATTTGTGTTTGGGTTAAAGTTTGCAGTGCAGGATCAATACACACCATTGAATTATGCATGAAGGGATTTTTCCTCTTGCCCTCAAATAGGTGAGAAGCAGCTTTTTGGAACTTATAGGCTAAGAGGGAAACTCTCCTGAGCAGATAAATAAAAATGTTTTGTAGTTACAGCTGTAAAAGTAAAAATTCTTTAAAGCCATTTTTATTCCTAAACTGGGCTTTTTTGTCTGATACAGTGACTTTTCTTTTCTCCCACACAGTACTTCAAAGCATTTACAAAGCAATTCACAACTGGAGAAAATTACCAAGGTAAGAACATTTTACTGTGAGAAATTCCCAGAGCAGTTTTCCTGTCAGCCAGGGCTGTGTCACACAACAAGCAAAATCCTGTCAGTTCCTTTGGGCAGGGGTGGGGTGGACATTAAATAGCTCTTTAAACAGAATATTCCAAGTATTCTAGGAAGTGTCAATCAGAATTTTAGGCAGGGAAAACATTTTTCAAGAAACTTAGGAATTACATTTCCTATTTTTTTTTTTTAATGTAGCTCTTAATTTCCACAAATGGCTTGTTAATTTTTTTAATCCCTTTTTTCCCACCACCCTCCTCATCAGCACGAGATCCAATTTGCTCAATGCTGACTTTTGATCCCTCAGCCCTTTTCCAGGCATCCTGAGTTGCACTGGGAGAGCCCCTATTCAGATGGTGACTCCCTGAAAATAGGCTTAGCCCAGGGTTTGTCAGGATCACAGCTTGAGGTGGTTTGTGTGGCACAAAAGTGATGTTGTCCTTTTCCATGGATGAACATTTAAAAGGCCAGAGGTCAGAGGAGAGACCACCTGCACCATTAACCCTTCCTGTACAAGGGAAACTTAGTTTTACCTCTTGGGCATTTATTTTCTGCTTTTTTTTTCCTGTTCTTTTAAAGCAAATAAAATATTCTCACACTTCAGTTATTTCCTCCTCTTGTTCCATGGCTTTGTGGCCTCTCCATTTGGTAGGAATGATACACTTTGGCAGGTTTTAATTTGTGGTTATTATCCTGCTGAAGTTGCCCACAGCAACTGCTGTGAAAATGTTCACATTGAGAATCAAGCATTGTTTGAAGAGAAAATCAGCAAGGCAGGCAGATGGATACATTTGGAAAAGTCTTGAGGTTTTCATATTTTTAGGATGGGATGACAG